AACCACCTAAAGTGGTAAAATTTCTATGTATTGCCATGATCAAATTCAGGTATGATTGTGGACAAAGAATTGAAAACTCGTCCCATTGAATTTGCTCCATTCTCATTCCCTTAAGAGAATGTGATAGCAATATGTAATAAGTCTGAAAGAAGATAAAATTATTACCATAAAGGAATCAATGGATGTGGACGTGGTAATAGACGAAATTATAATCGTCATTATCGTGGTAATTAGAATAATAAGGATTCTCAAAATAAGCCTTCACTCTATGAAGTTAATGTTTGTCATCAATTTGACATAAGATTTCATAGAGCACATACAGATGACTATGGTCCATTCATGATGTGAATGTGACAACATGTGATTTATGAATACATATTCATTCTTGGAAGAATATGAATGTGCTAGTGGTAGTGAATATGCCACACTCACCTCTAGAAGGAGGTTTGAGATGAATTAAGAAAATAATTCCATTATTATGGCATGAATGATCATTTATCACATAACTATTGTGATTGTGCCAAAATATTATGGCAATGTGATTATTACAGGGCAAAAGTAATGAAAGCAACATATCTTGCCTATAATGATTTTGACCATGAACATAATAGTATAACTTTCTCTTTAAAAGAGATATTCACCATATGGATGTTGATGAATATGTGGTAGTACCAAATTAATTGAGAGCTCTGGAAGAGCCAATTATTACTATTTTGGAGGAATAAAATTGATTATCAATAAGCCATTGTGTTGTAGTAAGTCTCAAAGAAACTTATTAAGTTTCTAAAATATTCGCGAAAGCGGTTGGTTATATTGAGACTATAAATAAAGGAAAGATTTAATATCTTCTAATACTACAACTTGTAACGGGGTAACATATATGTGAAAAGTTATCCGCTTTATTCTTCAGTTTGTACTACACAAATAAAAGAATACTACACTCAAGTGGATGTTTATTGATATAAAAACCCATATCATAATAAACTTGGAATTTATTCATAATTGCACACGTCATAGTGTAAAGCTGAAGTTTATCAATATTGATAATTTATTCAGTTGGCATAATTAGTTTAGCCATATCAATTTAAGTATGATGTGCAAAAATAAAAGAGAATTCACATGGGTAAATATTAAAGAGCTAGAAAGTTCTTTACGAATTCTCTTATGTTGCTTGTTCTCATTAATTAATATACCAACTAAAATTGGGATTGAATCCCATGAATGCTGGAAATACCAAAGGTGAATATGGGCTCATTCACCTATCATGTATACCACATAAGATGCATTTATGAGATGGTTACATGTGCGATTATTATTAACCCGCAACATGGTGTTTGCGAGGTAACTTGCTCAATAATTTGATTTAGAGCGTTCAAGATAGTTCATCTTGATAAGTTGGTTTACATCACAGTTGATTTAGTAAAATAATTTATTAAGTGCCTCTACTTAGTAGCTAAACAATTGCTTATGAGAACAAAGTTATGTATATCAGTTTGATATACGTTATACACCAAAGTATATTATTTTCTCCCCTCACAAGTGGTTCAGGGTCAGGAACCAAATAATTCCATCTTATTATTATTGATGTGCGGTGTATATTTTGATTAACACCATAACGCACAAAGGTGGATTCTCAAAGTTGAGGTAACAAGTTAGTTTTTCTAACATGATGGGGAGACATGATAAACAGTTGAGAAAACGTTACGTGGAATGAATTATCATTTGTACATCTAGATCCTCGAATAAGATAATATGAACTTGAGGTTCATAAAAATATAATTCATCTGCAATATATTACAAAGCATGCCAGACGCATTTGTTGACCCAAAGAAAGTAACTATATTCTCATTGCAAATGCTTCTATTAAGTCCTAGAAGGACAAAGTCTGTGGTACGCTTAAGGCGTATAGACTAATCGATTTCAAATCAACTTCTTGATAAAGAAGATGAGAAAATGATCATAATAAGGAGGCAAGTGATCTAGAAGATCACATGACATAACACTTCATAAAATCTCATGAGAGATTCAGGAACCTGAATATATGAATGAAGAGATCTCTATATTATGTCTTTATGAAAAATAAGGAGGTTGGAAGCGACATAAAATATTTGTCGACGACATCTATGAAAGCGCTAAGTATAGATGATAATTTTTTGAGTCTGTCGAATACAGACACAAAAATATTGGCCAAATAGAAGAGACACAATTCAAATAGAATTGGTTTCATATGAAAGACATGTAGTTTTGAACATGTAGTTCAAACACTTGAAAGTATAAAGTCAATGATATGTGCAATCAGTTTTTGATATCTTATATGTCTAGTATGACATGAAAACTTGATATGCATCTAAAGTCTATTATATGACTTAACTTATATGACAATCCATGAAGGATTTAAATTGCTTAAAGCATATAGAATTCATGGTCATGAAGTACTACATCCTCAGTGCAATTTGTGTACAAATGTATCTTGCTATAACTATATGCATGATAATATGATAGCAAGAGTTTTCACCTCTATGTGAAGATATTGAAATGACGATTCCAACAAGATCATATGAAGACAATACATCTATCAGGGATGATGATTTCAAGGTGAAACAAATTCGTTGAAGTTAATATGGCTGGTTTGTTTATCAAATTGTCTACCAAAGATCTTTTGAAGATGGTGCACAATATTGGAATGCAGATGCTTAAGGATGTGAATTGATGCTCTCATCAGGGGGAGTTAATACGCGTTGTACTCTTTTTCCCTTACAAGGTTTTGTCCCACTGGGTTTTTCCTTGCAAGATTTTTAACGAGGCAACCAAAAGGCGTATTTCTAAACATGTGTACTCTTTTTCCTTCTCTAGAATTTTTTTTCCCACTGAGTTTTATTTTAGTTAAGGTTTTAACGAGACACATTATCTGTTGAATAGACATCCAAGGGGGGGTGTTATAAATAGAATTGTATTAATGGTGAATATCTATATTTAGAGAGATTCTAGGGTTCATTGCTTGGTGGCTAAGTCACCCTCTCCCTATAAATAGAGGGTTCTATTCTATTGTAATTCATCCAATATCAATAAGAATTCTCTCTCCCTACTTTTCTTTGCAATACTCTTCTTCTTCTTTTATTGTTTTATAACAATTTGTGCTTTCTACATAATTTTCACGGCTCAATTCACCGAGTAGTCATTGTATCTTTAGCTCTAGCAATCTCAACCCAGTAGTTTTAGAGCCCGTTTGGATTGGCTTAAAAAAAGTGGCTTTTAAGCACAAGTGCTTAAAAGCAGCTTTTAAGTGCTGGAGCTTATTTTATAAATAAGCAATTACATGTTTAGATAAAAGTGCTGAAGCTTAAAAAAAGTTGTTGAAGTGTTTGGCAAACAAGTGCTGGTAAGCACTTTTTCTTATTAAAAAGATAAAAATATCCTTAAAGATATTAACATTATAAAGGAGCTGATTACTACAATATATTTAATTATGAATTAATGCAAATAAACATAATTTATATTTTAATTTAATTTCAATCTAATTGATTATAATAGATAATTTTTATAAATATAATTCATGAATGCTCATTTTTCACCACTTTCAATCAAGTAAACTTCCATAAAATTCTCAACCTATTTAAAATACCAAATTATTTTGTATAGGAAAAACAGGAACTTAAAAGAACAAAAATATGTATAAACACTACTCTTTTCATTCAAGTTTATGTGCCCATTTTTGTTGATGGCGTTAAGGAAAAAAGGGATGAGCCTTTGAGCTATATCGTCAGAGAAATCGATGGGAGCAATTATCTTGATATATACATGGAAAGTGTTGAACTAGGCATGGTTTTGTTGATTTCCACTGAATTACTTGAAGAAAACTGCAGAAAAATGAAGATGAAGCAGAGATGAAGAGGAAAGAAGAGGAACGGCAGAGTGAAGGAAATAGGAGGACTACAATGTTTTAGGGTTTCTTTGACTGAGGGTAATTCTGGTATTATAAAAACTTATAAGGGACAAGAGAGTAATTTTATTGGTCAAACTAAAATGGCTTTTAAGCCAAAATCGAAAAAGTTGGGGTCAGCCAACTTGTTGGTTTTGGCTTTTTTTAAGCACTTTGTAGCATTTTTTAAGCAGCTTTTTTTTGTTTTTGCCAAAAAATAAAAAAAGTGTGCTTTTAAGCCCATCCAAACACCCTCTTAAGCTAATTGTTATACAAAACATGGGGAACTAGAAAAGAGATATATAGTGAGGGTTCTGAATAGCTGATAGTGGTGCTTGAGAATGTTAACGTTGTTACTTCCAATAAGTGTTGAAACACCTAAGTTGATCGCTCATTTTGAAGTTTTAGGTATTAGGCATGTTACATTTCTTTCCTTGCATAACCTGCTCCAGCTCTACCTTAAGCCCGCCTGCATTTTTGGTTTCTTTATTAAAAAAACTAAAATTTTCGTTACCTCACACTTGCTAGAAATTATTCAAGAAGAGATAGCAATGGGGAGAATTGGATGCTGAGGCGATGCATGGCAAATCATAAACAGGGTAAGGCAAGAGAATAATCATGCATGCAGGTTGAAACAATTTCTTTTGAAAATCAAAAACAGGAATGAGGCAGAGGCAGGTTAAATGAAAATTAACAAGTTTTATAGTTTTAAGCTCGCCAAATGTAGCTAAATAACATTGGAAAAGGGAAAAGATAAATAGAAAAGCTTAAACGAGGTAGGGTGAATCTATCTGAGACTCGTAAAAATAGAGAAGATTGCAAACAGGGCAAGGCAAGACAAGACGGACCAAAAACTTTCGTTATTTTTCACCTGACTAGGCTAAAAATCCTTGAAAATGATCTATTAATGCTAAAAGATTTATATATATATATATATATTCTCAGAGGACCGTTAGCTTTAAGTCTAAGTAGCATGTTTCCGCATTGTTAATGAACCTTTCAGTATCATTTTTGGTTCACTTCGAACTGATGTACTTTCAGTATCATTTGCTTATGATAAAACTACGTTTGTGGACTATGTGAACATAATTTAAATTTTAGTTTGCCATGTAGGCTGTTCTTTTGTGTTTGTTTCAGAAATATCATCAAAATACAATTTCGATACTTGCAGATTATTGTGTGTCCTAAAAACAATTTTAGTTGAATTGTCCCCAAAGAAAGGGGGGAAGTTGCACAGACCGATACAAAGTTGGATTAGCCTACAGCATCTAGATCAACATCCGCATCTGTTTCTCCATCAATCATCCCCGTCTCTGCTTCTGTGTCTGCTTCCATCTGCCCTGCTTCTTGAGCAACATCTGTATCAGAGCTTTGCTTCTGGTTATCTTCTGGAGTTGGAGTTTCTTCCTGAGATATGGTAACAGTAGCAATTCTCGTGTCTGCGTCAATTGGAGCAACTGATGCGTCAGGATCAGCGCGCTCCCCTTCATTGTCCATCTCACTTGCTGCTGTCACAATCTAGCCATAACATTACAGGATTAGACCAAAAGAATTGTTAAGGACAGAAAATGGGAGGACTAATGAACTAGAAAATATATATATATACTCAAAAAAATGAACTAGAAAATACTCCAAAGTATGAAGAATTAAAGCATCAGACAGAAAGAAAATCAGATTTTTGCAAATTAAGGATAATAACCATTAGTACAGTACATCAAGACCAAAGCAAATATATTTTAGCATCTATACCTCCAATATGATACAACCTATTTGGTTAGAACCATTCTCCAAGCAGAAATCAATATTTTAATTATGCGCCAATAACATGAGGTGATCATTTCCAGATGTGACATATATGTTGCTTGGTACAGAAGATATCTTCACAAGTAGGCAGGTCTGAACAGAAGACGGTGATGTGATATTTCACGAACGATATAAGCTGTCGTGATGAAGACAGGCCATAATGAACTATAAAAGGTGATTAAAATAAATTGTTTTATAATTGAAGTTATATCCTCAGAAATGGTGAGCATTTGACAAATGTGAGCGGCCAATGTTACGGAAGGGTTTTCTCGTTCAGACTCTGTACAGAGCATGTGGTAGAGAGGGTGTAAAAACTGAAAACCGAGGTAATTTCAAAACGCAAAAGAATACTTGATTTTTATGGTAAAGCCAATTGCTATCTTCAAATCAGCAGAGAACTGCTAGAAGGATTAACTTATGGGGAAAAAAATAGAAACGGGGAACATAAGGTTAAGTTCGCTTTCAGGTACCTGATTTTCTTCTGCTTGCTGCGCTGAGGTTTTTGTTTCCTCCTTCTTAGCCCGCTTAGTCCTTTCACTTGGCTTAGCTTGATATCTGGCCCGTACTTCAGCAGGCAAAAGTTCCAGAGGCACAACCCCCTCAATACCATGCTCTGTAAACTGAAAAAGAAACATGTAACAAATTTCATTGAGAAATTTAACATTTAATGATAAAGACTGGAAATCACACCCATAAGTTAGCTCATACTCTGGAAAATCCCTCCAAGTCTTGGCGGGCTGAAAACCGCAAACCTTTCCAGCAATAGACCTGGATAGATCCCAGGATACATCGTTATAATCATGCTTCCAAGAAAGAGAAGTCATAGAAATATGCATCGTGAGCAGCGCATAAAGATATATGATGATATCAACACATAACAATTTTCTCTGCGAGTTCTCATTTTTACTTTTAGAGTGAATTATTACATATTGTTACATGTGACATCTTCCATATAGCATGAGAACAAAGAATCCTTATACACATGCCCCAGAAAGTGCATTTGACCACCACACTATCCCAACAAATGAACAGAGAGTGAAATAATAGGCAGGGTCACAATATGTCAGATAGAACATCTATTTGATCTTTGGCACTGGTTTTCATCCCTGAGGGGAGGACTCTTATGATGAACACATAGCTCGTGTGGAACAGCTTAAGGAATCTTAGCATTCCAATTACTTTCTTTACCCACACACGGATTATGACCCAAAATCATTCTATGCAATGGGTTTAGATCCATGTGCCACTTAATTACTGATTAGAAACTACAGAAGAAAAGGAGTTGATCATGTGTTGGGACCAAGTGACAACTTGGAATAATTCAAGGGTGTTACGCCAAAACATTCAAGAAAATGTTTTGTTTAAAAATAGAAGTATACAACTTGTGTTCTAATAGAAGATTCTGAACTATCAGCTATATCTATACACCAGGATAAACCTTTTCTTCTTTTTTGATAATGGTAACAATTTAATAAAGGGAGAACTACACAAGTTGTGAAGTCTCCAGATTTACAAAGACAAGTAAAAAAAAATCCAAGATGTTTGTCATCTTACAAAAAATCTAGGACATCAAAAATAGAGTCTGCTTCTTCTATGCTTACTTCTTTACACCAAAAATAGAACAAGACTGGACAGTTCGTCTTCATTTTCTGAATGGAACTGTGTAAGTCCTCTAGCCAAACTGCCCACCAAATGCATGCTGGGACAATCTTCCATCTCTTCTTCTGACTGGATAGGTTGCCATCCCTGCTCCAACTTTTTCATACATCAACTATTCTTCCAGGAATCACCCATCTGATTCCCCTCAGGTTGATGAAAATTTTCCAAAGCTGGTCAGTCTAATTGCAGTGTAAAAAGAGATGGTTTATCGTCTCTGCCTCTTCTCCAAATAAGCAACATCTAGAGCACAGTTGATAACCTCTCTTTACCAGATTGTCATGAGTCAAGACTGCTTCTTTAGCTAAAAGCCAAGTGAAACATGCCTGCCACCTTACAGGGTATTTTAACTTTCCAAATCATCTTCCATGGCCAGCACCCAACCTGATTGTTAGATAGGTTGTATTCCTTATAAGCTGACTTTAACTGAGAAGATACCTTTACTATCCCCCTTCAACACCATGTTGTCCTCAGCTGCAACAATGCCTCTGAATTGTGCCAAAACATTGTAGAATTCTGAAATTTTGATCATCTCCCAGTTATTTAATAGCCTTCTGAAGCTGAGGTTCCACCCTTGTTCTGACCATACACCAGCCACTGTTGTCTCTTGTTGTTGACATAGGTTATATATATCTGGGAGTAGTTGCTTTAAAGGTTCCTGAGTTAACCAGTTATCCTCCCAAAAAGAAAACTTCATACCATTACCTGCTTTGTAACTAGACTTTCTTCTGAAAGCCGGCCAATAATTTCTTATAGATCTACACAAACTGACCCCATAGGGAGTGCTTACAGGCTTTGATGCCCAATTACCTCCCACGCCATACTTTTATTTGATGGTCTCTTTCCATAGTGAATTCTCATCTGTAGAAAACCTCCACAACCACTTCATCATCAAGCTTTGATGCTGCACCTTCAAGTTTCTAATTCCCAGACCCCCTTCCTTTTTGCTAACTATCTAACTCTTCCATTTAACCAAATGAAACTTCTTTCTTTCACTATTACCTTCCCACAGGAAGTTTCTTCTAAGCACATCAAGTCTTTTTAACACATTTGCAGGCATTGGAAATAAGGACATCATGTAAGTGGGTAAGGCATCCAACACACCATTGATCAAAGTTAATCTACAACCCCCTCCCCCCCAAGTGACAGATATTGACTCTTCCAATTGGTCAACTTCTTCTCACATTTCTCTAAAACTCCATTCCATATCCCTTTTGATTTGCTCTTTGCCCCAGTGGCATTCCCAAGTATATAGTGGGTAGCTCTCCTATCCTTCCACCCAAAGTTCTAGCTAGATTATAAATGTCTGTCACATCATTGACCGGAAAGATATCGCTTTTATTCCAGTTAATGTTCAGACCAGAAGTGGCTTCAAACAGTATAAAGATCACCCTAACCAAGATAAACCTTTTCCTAATCTCTCTTTTAACAGCAAATGTACCTTTTAAATTTTTTATCTGATACTCCTCCGTTTCAAATTAGATGACACATTTCGTTTATCGAAAGCCAAACTATGTAAAGTTTGACCAACTTTTTAAAATATCTTTTTTTATCATATTGACATGAGAAAAATTGCAACTTATAGTACTTTTCTATAGTTTTAAATATCTAAATTTTAATTTTAAAATGCTGAGTTGAACTAATCTAATTTAGCTTCAAAATGTAGTCAAATTGATCTTGATAAGCGAAATGTGTCATCTAAATTGAAACAGAGCGAGTACAAGATCTTTACTTAGTCCAGCTTTGAGGCTCACACAAGTCCTGTATATTTTTTTTACTAGGTACAAGTTCTGTATATGTAGAGATAAATATGCACTCATCTATGACAACACGGTTTTATTATATTCTAACGTAAATGAGCTTTAGCTACTTATTGTGTGTATATAACCTTAGTTATGAGTTGATCAGTTCTGCACTAGAATATATTATGATACAAAAATGAATCCTAATATCACTGATTTTTGGTGTATAACAAACTGTTAGAAAGGAATCCAAATAATTCAATGAAATAAACCAGAGTTAGCTAGCATTATGTTGCTATAATGCCTTCTTAAACATGCCATTGTTAAAAACATAAAAATAGGAGGTCACTTAAGCTGTAACCAAGAACATAATGAATGTCATGGTGGTAATAAGACGTGTAGGAAAAAATCAAGCAGAAAAGATGAAGACACTTACCCGGTTATTTTTGTGATGGTATTCTGCTTCTATTCCAGCAGATTCATCCATCTAGAAGAGAGAGAAATCAAACTGAGAAACTCAAAAATCAAGGAAATACTACTAAGATACCTGTTCCTATCGCAATTAAAGGAATAACACAAAGTAAAGATTAGAAGAACATCTCCTACAAAAGTTGCTTTTCTTAAGAAACTTAATGGATGCTTACATCTTCTGCCAGAGGTTTCCAGTAATCTGTGATAGAGGGAGTGCACACACGTTGAGTATCAGTTAAAGCATTCTGGAGAAAGAAGAGTAAGAGAAGATAATTACATTTAGCCATTCAACATCAAAATAATAAGCTCCATCTTCTTCAGAGTCAGATACGTTGAATAAGACATGTTAAAAACTACATATTCATGGTTTTAGTTTTTTGGATGATACAATTTCAAAGTCAAGATTGAGAATCAGATGAAATTAGAATTCTTGCAGAAAGAAATCAGTCATACACAGTTCGAGAGCAAGGATAAATAATTTACAATAGGAGCACGCGACAAATATTTCTTGGTGAAATCATATTGTAGATGATCGCTCAATAGCGGGGATGCAAGGTCCATATGGAACTATGGAAGACGAAAGCACCTAGGAAAGAGGGGTCCTTAACGTGGTGCGACATGGATGCTATCTTAAAAGTTAACAACTTATGAAATGGAGAAGTATGTTACGAATCAGTGTTGTTTGTACAAAGTGCATCGGAAGGATGCGGATCATTTACTAATAGTGCAGTTTGCAACATAGCAAACTGATCTTAGTATATTCTATTTAGTATAAAGGCTGTGTAAGATACCACCTCTTTATATATTCCAAACAACCTGAAGAGGAAACAAATAGAACTTCTAAAAGCGAGACCAGCATAGAAAGTCGAAGGAGATCTTGTTCATTTGTAATTTTGGGGTAAACAGAACATTCTTTCTTGTATAGATAGTTGGACTAATATTTTGTACACTTGATATCACACCTTTTGTACTGCTGACATTGTCTCAATGTGATGAACAATGAAATGATTTCAATTATCAAAAAAAAAAAAGATGAAGGAATTATTTTCATTTTATTTAGTTGTTTTACATTTAAAAAGCCAGAAATAAGCATTCATATCTGGAAACACGCAACATATCTAACAAGTATCTTAAAATGTATTCAATGTGTATATCATTCATACGGTTCATGATGACTGAGAAGATATTTGGTTTTCACAAGTGCGTAGTCCATAGAAGACCATCCATTATAGATAGTTGGACTAATATTTTGTACACTTGATATCACACCTTTTGTACTGCTGACATTGTCTCAATGTGATGAACAATGAAATGATTTCAATTATCAAAAAAAAAAAGATGAAGGAATTATTTTCATTTTATTTAGTTGTTTTACATTTAAAAAGCCAGAAATAAGCATTCATATCTGGAAACACGCAACATATCTAACAAGTATCTTAAAATGTATTCAATGTGTATATCATTCATACAGTTCATGATGATTGAGAAGATATTTGGTTTTCACAAGTGCGTAGTCCATAGAAGACCATCCATTACAAACAAGCCCATTAAACATTATTACTCACTGCAACTATTGTCAGAGGTTCAAAATGAATCATCTATGATGAGAATTCATTAACAAAAGAGTTGTAATGATTTTGTTGTGTAATTGTGACAATATCAGCAAGTTCCTCATACACAGCAACTGAAAATTAATGTGATATATATCTTGCTACATGGGACTCATGCAAGTAATAAGTTGACGAGAACAAACCGGATACTGATCTGCCCATTTCCACAATTGAGAGAGTTCTTTGTTTCCAAGCCTCCATCGTGGCCGACTGTGAGTAAGGGAAAAAGAAGATGGTTAATTATCACCTAAGTTGTGGGAAAAGGGAACCAAAAACAATAGCAACAGTTTGAATTCCTAAAAACATTTTCTGTTAAGTAAAAAGGATTAGAAGGAAATAATGAATAAACATAATTATTTATGCTTCTTGGCTTTTCAAGGCTAGAATACAAAACTTTTTGTGGTCAATTGGTTACATAGGCTGCTGAGGATGGGATAAGCAACTATCCACCGCAGATGGGTCCACAATGGATTAAGATGAAATAGGTCATAAGGGCACCATTTAGCAGAACATAAGTTTTGTTTCAAAATGATTTGAGAAAACACAATTCAAATTGCTGAATGACTTCATCTCCTACAGATGTGTGATGTACATAGATAGAAATTTTCAGACAAATTCTTCTGTTACCCAATGCAAAAGTACCAAATATCACAAACCAACTAATTTCAGAAGATTGAAACATCTACCAACTGTTCTGTAAATAGTTTAACCTTGAGCAGTGGATTTAAGAACTGACGATTATACCAATCACACGAGGAAATCTGGGAAGACTTCAGAAGCACAAAACTATATTGGCTGGCTTTCATTACGGAAAGCTGTGATATGGTTTGCACGTGGCCTTTAGTTCACAAAAATTTACTACAAAATCTACAGGCCACTTAAGGATATTCATCCATGTTATATGTCCAGAATAACAATGGATCTCAGCCACCTTTAAGTCATTACCCATAAGGAAGAGAACCATGAAGCATGTGTTTGTTGGTTGAATCCTTTCCAGTTAAATTCACAACTTTGGCTGTACTAAATGCTATGTTACATGGATTTCTTTATGTTACGTACTAAGCATGGTGTGTGGAAGTATTTGGTACAGGTATGTCAAGTTTTTTGCTTAATTTAGGATATTTTAAAGAATCTGCATGAAATATACACTCCTATCACACCCCTCCCGAGATATATATCAAGGCAAATGAAGGATTCATGTACTATAGACTAAACATGAAAAGCTTTGAAGAAATCTTTCGTGCTCTCTGTTGAGTGGTGTATTAGGCTTCAGCATAATGCTAAATATTCCAGGACAAAAGTATTCATCCCGCCTTAGTTTGGAAGGGAATAGTTTTCTTAGCATTGCTATGGTGATCGCAGAAGGATTGTATTCTGGAGTGGAGTTATTGGATCTTCAAAGGGATTGGCATACTCCTTGTTTAAACTTTTCACTAATCATTTTCTGATATTGTCACTAGAGGGCACTTAGTCCTCCTATGCATTTTCATTCTTTTTAACAAAACTTTTTCAATGCGAGGGAAATGCAAAACTAAGAAAAAATATATGATCTGGATATGGTAACCAATATATTATACATTGTAAGGATTAAAGCAACAGCACATGCCAATTTGTAGTTACCGTTTTTTGGTTCCACCTTGAACCGGCTTTTTCTCTATGGGTTGCTTCTCAAATGGAGGGCAGCCATCACGTTTCCACCAAACCTATGGAAAGAGCCATCATCCGTACAGCATAATAAGTCAACCAATAAAAAGATCTCCTGCATGAAAAAGTGAATAGAGAGAGAAAACTGATGCTCACCCAATTCCTTTCACGCTCCAATATGTGCTCAATGCTACAAAGGAAATCTTTTCCTTTGGGTGGAGTCATTTCAAGAAGCTTCTTTACCCGCTCTTCACTAGTCTTTATTTCCTCCTCCTACAATTTTGAGGAAACAAATTAGCTTGCTGCTCAGGTAAAGCACAAATTCTCTGAGTGCCACAAAAATGATCAACTATTTTCTGTCTAAGGAACAAATGTAAACGCAGAGCACCTTGACTCGCAAACTAGAAAACGCTAACAAAATATCAAACCCTACAGAGGAAACACCATAATCTGCAAGAACTTCATAATGGTAGAAAGAAACAAATGAGAAATATGTGATATATCCCTTTAACCAATTTATTTAGATATTTCATGTCCTCAAATTATTTTAAAAATTGGCATTTTCTCCTGACCATAAAATCTATTAATGATGAGAGATGATTACAAGTTCCCAACAAGTGACCACATTTTCATCCTAAAACAAGCATCAAAATAAGGTGCATGCTAGTATGCTACCAATTTTTTGTTGTTCCGAGGCAATGAGACATGTTATTGATAGAGGTCTTGCTAAAGTGGAAAAGTCAAATCATTGAGGTCATGGACTCATAGGTCCTCTTCTCTTAATAGTAGGTAAATTACTTATATTAGATTCTTCATTTATTCCTTTTCCTTTTGATAGCTGCTGTTCGTGGGTCAGCTCTTCTCGGGGGACGTATTTGCTTCCTCCTTTATGAAAGTAGTTCCACAGAATAGTAATCCACCTAATGGTGGGTTTACTATTGCTCATTGTTCCCTTAAAAGTAATTAGAGAAAAGGTAGAAACAAAAAAGAAAAGAAATTGAAGCACGTTTTCCTCCAGGCAAAAAGTAACACCTGCTAATGAGAATGAAGTAATTCATCAAAGGAAATATAGTCCAGATCCGCAACATCAGAAATTACAGTAAAAAATACTCTTTGTTATCCACTTCATTATATCTTAAGAACATGGGTTAAAACATCTTAAATTACGTTGCAACATTCTAGAAAAGAGTAGTCTAAAGATTGTAAAAGAAAATCACTTCTGTTAACAGTTGCAATGATTTCCTTCAGAGAACTTCTATTCAGAACATAAATTTACAGCAGAGGCCTCATTTGTTCCCTGGTTTTCTTCTGGAAGGAACATATAAATAGTATTCCTCCCAATCAACATTTTTACTTTCACACCTAAGCAAAAATTGATCACCCTCGCGGAAAATTTTTATATGCATGAGGGTGTGTGTGCTACATATACATATAATACATACATATATATATATACACACACACACACACACATTATAGAGAAAGAGGTGGTGGGAATCAAGGGACCACTAATACATTATATTGATACAGCATGAAACGAAATAAACAAAGGCAAGACCAACCATTGCTTCAGAGGGCAATTCCTTCTCACTTTTTCCCGGTGCCTGCATGATTACGAACAAGTAGGAGTTTAGACATTATCTAGTTAAAACTGAAAAAGAGAGCATTTGAAATTATAGTTGGAAAAAAAGGTATTTGCAAGTTGAAGTGGTGGTTGGATATATTTCAATTGGAAAAAAAGTTGGAAGTTTTGTGAGTGAAACCATCATTTGACATTCCTCAAGAAGCTTTTCACTTCAAGTTCCCTATTTCAAGTTGAAGTTGAATTAATGCACAAATACTGATGGCCAAACTTCAACTTGCAAATAATGACTTCATTATAGTCATTATTTGCAAGTAAAGTCATGGCCAAATGGGTCCTAAATCATCATGATAAGAGACGAGATCAACAGCAAATAAAAAACAGGGACAAACTCATTCTAGTTTAGTTACAGAGCACCTAACCCACTGCTATCTCTCTATCTCTCTTTCTCTCAGTTTTCTACCATGTTTTTCCTTCTCCTTTCTCCCCCTCAACTAACTTTACTCTCACATCTTCCCTCGGCAAAGCTCCAGTGCAGACCACATTTGGCATGTTTTCATTTGCTCTCCTCTCTGATGAACACCACACCTAAGACATTTAAGTATCATACTGACATTTTATACTAGAGAATCTTCAACTTAATGATTAACAAACAATCATGTGGATTATCATCATTATGATTGAAATCAAAGATAATCCTGAATTTTGATGTTTTGAATATGTGAATTCAACTAGAAAAGCTTATCCCACATGCATAAAGGAGAGACAAAATAACCTTCCAACTTTTGTTGTAGTTCATTCATTACCATTTAAGGTTGCATTATTACTAAAATCCACCGGCACATCGAGCTCAGAGCTAACAAAATGCATATCATTACCTTCAAATAGTCAAACAGAATGAGACTTTGAACCAGAACGTGGCGCCTGAAACTAGGATCTTTCAGCTGACACAAAAAGAATGATCAGAAATAATATGACATTGAATTTGCTGCTCCATTCTGCTTTAGAAGAGCTTTCTAAATTGAGAAATGCTCCCATACCTCGAGACCCATAAGTTTACTGCTTGTAAGATATTTTATGTTAAAGGTTGCAGCGTCATCCTCAAGGTTATGAGCATTGCCCTCTTCATCGCTTAAAGGCTGAGCCTCAAAAGTATTTAGCACTATCTTCAAGCCCATAAAATCATATAATCACACATTAGATATGGTTAATGAAAAAGAAGCCACAGAAACATCTCAAATAATTAAAACAGGGAAAGAGGTGTACCATCAAACCGGATGTAAATTTATGCCACTTGCCAGGAGCATTAATCAGGGATGGCGGATTGCAGAAGTATTCCTGAGTTAGCAAAGCTAAAAATTACAAAACAAGATAGAAGGTGGGAGAAGCACATGCACGGAGCCTGTCAGAGATACTTCAAACACAGTGATTCATACAGAAATAAAGGTTGTCTGAATTCATCAAGAGATAAGACCTTAGAAGATCACAAGGAAATAACTTCAAAAGTAAGTTTGGAGGTAGCTCTTTATTCCCTACCCCTACCCCCTTTTTGGGGGTTTTTTTTTTTTTTGGGGGGTTTTTTGGGGTTTAGGGTATATCGTAGTGACAGAATACGAAGAGTACAGATGTGATCATATCAAATCAGCATCCTTTATATCTCCCATGTGAGCAGACTGTATAAGCAAATACTACATAAGGAAGGCTTTTGTAGCTATATGCTTTGCCAACACAAGCTAACTCCTTACTAATCAAACTCATGGACACTGATACTTACTGTGTTTATTGGTTTCGTCTTGTACCCCCCCCCCCCTTGTCTCTCTCTCTCTCCAAATATATATATTAAATCTCCTTGTATTTTCTCTTCAACCTCTCATCCTCGTCATCACTAAGTTTTTCACTTAATATTTCCTTGTGTTCTATGTTTGCCTACAATTCTCTGTCCCACAGTTTCTCACCAACGGTCTCATCTGACCTTCATCTATCAACATCAACTAGGATTTCAATGTTACAAAGATAACTGATGACTTCATTAATAACGAAGTTGCTGTATTGATGATAGAAGTTAAAACTCATGATTCAGTAGCATAATCAATGGCAAGATGGGAAGGGCTTCAAAGAAATGCTTCATATTTAGAGTTTTTTGCGGTAAATTCTTTAGAAGTTGTATCAGGATCTCCAGCTCCCACTTAGATTGTAAAAAGAAGTAATAGTAGGATTTCACCCCCAGTAAAAGAACACTAATGACACTTCTTCAGGAATAACAAGCACGAAAGCAACTGACCATGTTAACAGGAAATGCAGAAATAATACCATAATACTAGGTTTTCAGAATGCTTATCAAACAGACTATGTTATTCACAAGCATTCCCTTAAAAGTACAAAAGCCTGATACCGACCTGTAAATTCCAAAGTGTCTTATAGAAGTTGAAATCTATAGAAATACCTGAAACCAAACAAATTGATGCACTGTTAAGCACTAAATAAAATGCAAACACAAATCAGCAAGAAAGTGATTGATGCATTGTTAAGCACTAAATAAAATGCAAACACAAATCAGCAAGAAAGTGATGGGAAAATATATCTACCCTCAGGAGCTTGTGTCTCATATTTTGTCTCATTTGATGTATTGAAAACTCCCTTTATATTTACAGCTGTGGGAATTCAAGCAAACATATTAGCACCAATATACAAAGGGGGGGATCTTCTAAGTATATACAGAAAAAGAAAATTAAGTACCTGAACGCTCGGATAAGGGGAAGAAGTGAGCAAGAAACATGATAATGCGCCCACAGAAAACAACATCATTCGCCTGCATTACAAGATGTTTAGACAGGAAACAATTGGAACATTTTGTTTACTTAGAGTGAAGAGAAAAGATAAAAAAGCCAACAAGCATTAATCAAATTTTACCAGTCATACAAAAATTGAATGAAATACAAAGAAATTTAGATTTAAGTACCGACTCGTGATAGGTAAATTGGCTTAAAGAAAATATTTTAAAACATCAAGGAGAGAAAAGACGATACAAGCAATGACTTCCAAGACTGGTAAACAAATGCGAAAAGCGCAAAAAAACTCAAAGGTCTGTTGGGGTTTAAGCGCAAAGCGCAAATAAAGCGTGGGCTTTATAATGAAGAAAGGTACAAATGGAGAAAGAAACACATATATGTATGTGCAGTCCAAGATTAATAATTATACGCATGAATAACAAATATTTGGATAAAGAAATTGAAACAAAAATTACGATAAGTGAAATATCAGTTATTTAGTGTAGCCTCTTCAGGGTTACGCTCATTGGCAAGAAAAAGTATGTCTTAGAGCCTTGATGATGACACTGAAGGGCCCTCTAAGCGAGGCGAAGCGCTCAACATGTTTTGCACCTCACTTCAGGGCTTAAGCGCGCTTTTGACAACACTGCCCCCCCCCCCCCCCCAAACACACACACAAAAAATATCAAGAATGAATAAAAATGGAGGTAATGGAGCCACCTTCTCAAACCTCTGCACGTAGGAAAAAATCTTTCGATGCCCATTTACAATAACTGAAAACTTTACTGTAGATATGCAACATTTCATACACCCAATCCACTTTTTTCCAGACCTGATTTCTTTCAACAAATTTAGCCAAGTACGACCAATTAACATAATCATACACTTTCTCTATGTTCAGCTTGCACATTACCCCAACTTCCCCCTGTCTCCTACTATCCAAGCATTCATTTGCAATAAGCACAGTCTCAGTAATCAGCCTTCATTTAATAAAACCCATTTCTGTTTCAGCAACCAAATATTTCATCACCTTTTTTTCTCTCTGCCAGCAATTTGTGTTAAGACATAATATAATTAACAAAAAATGTGCTCCCCCTAACAGCTTAAGCTTTTCAATGAGATGGCCACACAGTTGATCTCCAAGTTGCCGGTACTCAAGGGGTTTGGGTGATTGGGTTCAATTCATTCTCATGACTTGGATCAAAACCACTTAGATTCATATTAATAGCACTGGTACAATAAGAAGATCCAATTTTAATTCTATATGTATGATACATCTTCATCTATCATGTCATCACCCTGAAAGACAGGGCAAAATAAATAAACATACAAAACAAACATAAGTTTTCATCCCAAAAAACTTCAGTATATCTCTTCTTCTATTCCATAACAAACAAAGAAGGAGGTCTGCCCCCACACCCCCAACCCCGAATTTTATTTAATGTGTCACCCAAATGTAATCAAAACAACCCAAGAAACTATAAGTTAGAGGACTTTCTTGGGGGGGATAAGCAAAGTATTCGAATTAGGAGAAACTTTAATAATAGCAAATATTTCTTTCATTACTCCATATAATAAATTGAACTAAAGTTCTTGATCATTAAGAAATAGGAACGGATATTTGAAATTGGAGCTTGTACATGGAAAAAGAAGAGATATTTAAAATTGGAGCTTGTACTTCCAAGATAGTGCCTTGATCTAATACAAAGGGAAAGATTTCGAAATATACAACAAATGAAACTATGATAAAATGAAAATGGACAATGCCATTATTGGATACCAGAGGCCCTTTCTGTTACATGGCATTGACAATAAAGTAATGACTTATATTTGCCAGAAAAATGACTTACATTTGCTGCAAATTGATTCATTTTCTCGACGTACACCAGATGAATTAATGTGCAAACAGAGACAAAGATATTTCTGATATCTATTATAAGACGAAGCTGAAGGGAAAAGCACTGTGTACCTTTGATAGACGACGAAGCAACTGATTACACGTCCTTAACATAACAAGCTTCCCTCGTGCAAAGAGTTCTGGCTATATGTCACAAAAATGAACATAAACATTGTAAATGTCAAGAATTTGCCTCACCAAATAAACATATACCATCAATAAAGTCGTAAATGTTCATAGAACTGAAACCAGCAACAATTATGCATACCTTCCCCAATATGTCTTGTTTGCTCTCTATGTACCCAAAGATATCCTCACAGTTTCTCATTGTTGACATTTCTGTCAAATCTTCTAAAAGTTGAAATATCATGCCACCCTCCACATGCTCTTTCTCACAAAGATATAGAACAATATCTATCAACAAATCAAACGGAAAGGTTACTAGGAAAGAACAAGTGACCTTCCATGATAGCTTCATATAGAAGATTGAGATAACATAAATGCATCTCACCAACTCCTATGAGAATCATCCAGAGCATTCATAGGCTTCCTAGAATCCAATTACACCTACCATTATGTACCCGCTCATTAGCAATTAACGCATATCTCAAGGATCTCTCTACCTCTACTGCTACAGCAGTTGTGATCTAAGCTGAAGTTTTCTATGGGGTTAAACAATAAATGTACATCAATAAGATGAATTATTTTTTTCTAGTACTAGTAGTACTATTTACAACCACAGAATCTCAATGATCACAATTTCCTGATAATAACCCAAAGGAAAAAACATAGACAACCTTAAGAACTGAAAAACAAATGTCTCTCAAGTTTATTTCTTTTTGAAATGGTAATGTATCTCAAGTTTATATGCTCAAGAAAATGAGTCTTCCACAAGGAACTAACAAGATTGGAGGCAGATGAATTTCAACGAGTCAAAGACGCGAGGGGCAAGTGATGGCTATATTTCTAGGAGCGAACTCGGGGAAATGAAGCGTTGATGTTCCAAAAACAGAATACCACACTCACTGGTCATTGGTCAAGACTTGTGGAGATGGAGGGCAAGAAGTGATGATGCTTTTCAGTAAAATCATACTACCATAAGCATAATGATGTTGTATGTTTCTACATCTGGGCTCTTCTAGCACTCGAAAAGCAAGAGTTTCCACGTCTCTCCAACCACCGGGAACTTTAAACAACTGCAAACTTATAATTCCCTAAACAGAAATACTTCAAATATTCTTCTTGGCAGTATAATTGCCAATGCTACCAGACACTCACCAAGAAGGCGGGGAATCTGACCCTGACTTGATTCACCATCAACAATCGACATTCCATACTCCATGATCTTCTGCCCCGCCTGAACTGCAGCAGCCTGTGACAGGATACAATTGTTCGCTACTCATAAGACAGACATGTTACCCACGAAACTACTCTATAGCATGACCAAAGGTGAAGTTCAAACAAAAACAAGAAAAAAGTTATTGTTTTAATGAAAAGGTACAGCATAATATTCTCCAATGATACAGAGCTCAGGAACAAGAAAGAACCAGCTTCACCCTTTAATGTAATGCAAGGTGGTACAATTATAGAATGTCAGCTACTGCTAAGAAGTATTCTGGAATCATGATGTACTCTCTGCATTTCAAGTTGGAACTCGAATCAGTCACAACTGGTCCTAGAGGTGAAGCCAGTGAACTTGATCTAGCCCAGATAACAAATTCTTGCAAGACATGAGCGATAAGGGGGGAGGGAGGGGGGCTTAATCTCTTCATGCGTATCCAAAAAAAAAGGGGGGACGCAATTCCTACTAGATTTACTAGGTCCGATTCTCATCAGTCAACCTTTTCTACCACAAAATGTAACATTGTTACAGCACACGCAAAAATCCAGGTAATAAATGATGATGTCATTCCTGCTAAGAAAAAAAACACATACCACCAGTTCTTGAAGTAGCGACCTGAGAATATTCTCCAGCAGCTGATTCTCGTCTTGGACTAGCTTTATTTGCTTCTGCAGATGACCAGAAAAAAGTCAATACTGTGAAGGATAAGAACTCCATGGCAGAAAGCTCACATCGGTAAGCATATCTCATTCATCCTTATTTAACAAGACCTGGATGTATAATTTATCAAATAAGCTACAATTATGTTATGCAAAAATGGACTTCTTTATAAAAAATACTACACCTTAAACCAAGAAGAGAGCAAAATCTACAGACATGTCACCACCAGAATCAAATGGCACAGCCAAACTATATTTGGGAAACACTATCAAGTCTTTGCTAATTGTAACACGGGAAAAAGGTCCATTTTAAAGCAGGGAGCGAGTTCTTACGTTGAAACTTGAACATTCCCTCAAGGCCTCAATGCACCCCCAAATCACAGGAAAAAAGCAGATTATTGCCAGGTAAAAATGGGTTAGATGAATTTTAACCAATATCAACATCTGGTTGACCGGCAACATTCAAGTTTTAGGTCTGCAGAAACGTAAATAATGTAAAGGACATGCATACACTTACTATATGGAATCCAGTATATGAATCTTCCTTGATGTGCACGTTGCTATGTACATTTCTTTAATCTGTCTTTTTTCTGTTTTACTTTCCTAGATTAAATGCTAAATTGTCTCTGCTTCTGTTTCCCATCTGATGTACCCCAGCAGTCAAATATAGAACACACATGGACACACCTCCATAACACACTACAAGATGCATATGCATCTACCCATACCTGCAAACAAACACACAGATCTATGGACATTTATATGTTCCCTCCATCCCAATCCGAGCATCCTATTTAGCTTGGGGAATTAACTAAGCATTGAAACTGTAATCTTTAAATGAATGAGAGTAAAAGATGGAGATAAAGCTACTAACATTCACCATATTTGAACAATTTTTTATAGTATTAGTGGGACCAAAGTACCTTTTACACAACTCAATAGTGAAAAGAAGTGAGTAGCATAGAGAGCACTTTCCCTTCAAAAAAAAAACGTACACAATTTGGGAACAATTACTATGCATAACAGAAAGTAGGACAACTAATTTAGGGTATACACGTACTAAACAAACCTGAGGTTTTATTGCTTCTTGAACAGTTCGAAGTGCAAACTCTTCAGGTGGCCCTGGGCGCAGAATAGCCTGCCTAAACAAATCCTGTAAAATAGCAAACCAAAACTTTAAGATGTTAATAGATTTTCAATACATAAATAACTGTTTTTGTGTGTTTGTGTGGAAAGTTCCTATGTCTTATCCCCATTTTAAAGACTGCAAAAATGGGTGAAGAATATCAATGAAGAAAGAGAAACCACATAGCTTACCATATTGAGGATTGAATGGTTCTTTTTTCTTTTTTCAAATTTTCTTTGGCTATAAAATCGTGCGAAGGCAATACATCTGTAGTGAGAGAAGGGAAGCAGAGACTGCTGGGGTTTTGGGGGTTTTTCTTGAATTTCCTTACCCCCGCTGTGTTTTTCCGGTTTATGCAAAGGAGAGAGTAAGATATATGAAAGTATGAATTAAACACAAATTTAACAATGGAATGAAATCTTTGTTATTCATATGTCATTAAGAAATATATAGTTTTTTGTTAAATAGCTACAAGTAAGTTGTTTTATTTAGGGGAAAATGGGGAATTCCTCCCGTTGGTCATAATTTTTTTTTTACTTTTTTCAAAAAAATTGAAAATTTTATTTGGCTATAAAAATAATCAGTTTTTGGCAAGTTTTTAAAGTTGAATTTTTCAAGTTTTAAAAATTGGTTTAGATTAGTTTTGCAAGTTTTCTACTCACGAAACTTCAATTTTTTTTCAAGTAAAGTACATGTCCAAACACAATCTTCAAAAACTCATTTTTTTAAGTTTTAACCAATAATAATTTCTAACATATTAAAGAAATACCAGCTACTGACTCCCTCTCAAGTTGGCGCTATTTTCTGCTAACCAAATACATCCATAGCCGGTGGAAAAAAAAATGCATCCATATAGCCTCTTGAACTCGATGCAATATTTAATTTTGACACCTCCATTTTGCGTGATAAATGTTGACTAGAATGTGTGTATTTAAGTCTTTGTTACTATTTGTATGACCCAAAAATTAGATTTTGATTTATACAATTAAATTTGTTGATAAGTAGGGTAATTATAGTCAATATTAATGTCCAATGACATATCCGGTATCTTGTAGTGACTATTTAATGGATAGCGTTAAAGAGACAAATAGGAATAATAAGTGAGCAATAGTAACTTGAAAATATAAGGAATAGCAATAAATAACTTTCAAACAGTAGAAGAGACAAGGATAACCCGACATGGATGAATTCTCCAGATGTCTGTTTGATAATGATGGATGATGATGAACAATCGTATATTCCAATCCTTCTTGGATCGGGAGAGGGGAATAAATGAAGGGAGGCGTAAAGTGAAGCTTTGTTTCTATTCAATAAAGTGAGAATCTTGTACATAAAATATTGGTGAAATCTTTGACAGAAGGTCCAATGCCCTTTCTTATCTATATCTTTTCCTATTTATATGGGCACATGGGCCACAAAACTCTAGATAGTACAGCAAAATAGAATATTCGTAGAATATTCCCCATGGAATCTAAATTCTAAGATCGGTCGCCACTACATGTCCAGAATTGGAGCTCGTCCTGGTCATCTGCCAAGTCAGTTCGACATCGGCACCGCTTTGTTCTTCAAGCTTGACCTCGATCTTTTGAAGTCATCGCGACACTGTCACAACTGCCATAGGCTTTATTATAGTTGTCTAGGTCAAATAATACATCAAGTGGAGTTTTCACTCATACACTATTCAATCTAAAACGTGTGAAATTTATATGTGTTGGTGCGACAAAATAATGAATGAAATAAAACGAGAATCCAACTAACCTAAAAAGGAAAGTTTTAGGCCCAACAAGAAATCATTATTCTTCTTTATTTATTAATCGGTCAATTCTATTATGAGAGAATTTGGTCAGACTAACCTATGGTGTGCTAATTGTTATACTAATAGCAATGTCCGGTATCTAAATTAGTATAAAATAATTATTGCGCCGCATGAAAAATCACATGATATTTTTACAATCTTTTTGCTTCCTCATCAAGTCATCCTATCGTCAAACCTCAAAATTCCTTTTTTGCATATATTCTTAAAAGGGCTAATTTCATTGACATTGTTATTATCATTTTGGACGATTTCTAACTTTGTTGGGTAGCATGTGGTGACTTAAGTTAGTCTTTTGCATCAAATGAGTTAATATCTGTTATATATATTTTTTTCCCGGTAAATCTCACACCTTTTTTTAATGGTGGCATTTCTCTTTTGATATTTGTCGAATTACGTCTCGCTCATTTAGAGTATTTGAAACTCATGTAAAGATTCTATGATGTTCTTGTGTGAGGATGGTTATACCCTATTTTAAACTGGTTAAAGTAAGGTACAATATATAGGCAAATCCGTATTTAATTAAAGTAATAGAGTCGCCACCTAATTATTTCTAAGGTGAACTATGACATTTAAATTGGTTAAAGTAATTTAATAAAGTATTTAATAGTCTACTTAACCTAACTAGGTAAAGGTTCAATTAATCTAAAAGAAAGGTTTTTAAGGCACCTTTAAGATCCATATTAAATGGTTAACCGACCAGGCTTAAATTAATTAATTCAGACTATGTGTTAAGCGTTAAAGTTAAAATATTACAAATAGTCTTTCAAATCCAACTGATTAAAAGGATTAATATGTAGGGAATACTCAATTATCTAGGAAAATTGTTAAAATATTATAAGTAAACAAGTTTGTGTTTAAAAAAGAAAATGAATTGGTATCAGGAGGTGATATTTAAAGAATTTAATAAAAAAAAAACAACTCCACAAGTTTAAGAAAATAAGAACAACACTAGAGTCAATTCTTAAGAAAGATCACTTTTTGTAAACAAATTTTATAACACTCGATTGGTCATCTGACAAGGATCAGTTGAGTTAAAGCCAATTAGAAATGTCCATGCAACTAAAGTTTGTTAGAGCTTTTGACCAAACTACTCAATTTATACTCGGGCTATGTTCTTGTGAAATAAAACGAGCATATTAAATGTTCAAGTAAGAACTGATTTCTTAGCTTAATGACATGTCCTAGGCGGCCAAAATTATACTAATGCCATACCGATAAATATTTGAACCACGGATCAATTAAAGTCAAGATACTTCATGTTTTAAAACAAGTCACCAAAGTAAATATTAACAATAAGCTACTGAAATGAAACTAAAGAAAAATATAATGTTAAGTAAGTGGTTAAAGGAATATTATGGAAGAATGTTCGCCATATCCCCTCACCCACATCATTTTCTGTTCGAATGCACTTTTAACAGGGCGAGAGACGTGCGACAACGCGAAGGAAGATATGGATGCAGGTTCTTTGTCTAACAGTGGCGTCAAGTCTTGCATTAAGACTCTGCTCGACTCCAGTGTATTCATGCGAAACAAACAAAAAGTGAAGGGAAATTAGATTGAGGCAATCTGATTGTTTTAGGAAAACAAAAAAAAGTAAAGATTAACAAGGCAAAAAGTCACATAACTTATAAACTAAAACAAATACTTTCAAAAGTCTAACCAGAAATGTAAAGAACCTAGCATTCATATGCTATCAGAAGTTGATTCGTAATTTAATACTTAGAGAACAACACAGTGAACACAAAAATGGGATCTAACTTTTAATATTCATGCAAAGATGAGAACAGACCCTAAAAGCATGATTTTCATTAAGTACATGTTTAGTTCATAATCTTAGATATAGTTCTGACTTTTAAGGAAATCTAAAGGGGCATGATACTAAGACAAGCTTTCCAAAATAACAATATATCTTGATGCGAATAGAGAAACTCTAAAGCATAATTTCTAGTGCAATGCTTATATTAAAATTTCAATCAAGAACGAGAATTTAAGATACAAACATGATGTATTTTAACAAGAGATCCTAAAGAACATGATTGTTATATATGAAAGATTCCTAAAACATGATCTCTACGCATAAACAAGAGGGAAGCTAAAGTCACGATTCCTTTAAGCAGAAATCATACTTAACGGTAAAGTATTTAAACTATACTACACACAAAAATTCAAGATTCTACTGTTTCGCCTAAGAAATAAATTTTTTGGATAATGTTAGAATTGGAGATGAAAAATCGGGTTACTGATAATCAAGAGACCAAAATAATAATAGGCTTTCTGAGAATAATAATAAAGCAGTAAGCAAAGGTTCTTATTTTAGTATGAGGTAAGTCATGTCCTTTTTCCAATACAATTTCCTCCTTTTATAGTTGATTCTAGGTAAAGGAAATAAATCTAAGCTTTAATGAGACAATTATAGACAATAAATGACATTAAATGAGCCGTTACACAATCATTCCTATTAAATACCAATTTTCTAACGTATCAGGTATTTAATACTGAATTTGGACTCCTTTTTGTCTTCAGATTCATGTCTTCAATGCCTTTCGACCCGCTGGCTTTAAATGACTTCGAATTGGTTCGAGACTCGTGTCTAAACTGCTTCTCGTGCCTATTTCATTTCTTCTTCCCGTATTTCCCGTACCTTTTTCCCAACTGTTACGCTTTGACCACTTGTCCAGTCCACGTGTCATGCCACGTCATCTTCAATATAAATTCAACTTTTTTCCCAATACAGATAGTCCCCCCACTTTCCATTTATTTATCAATTAAATAATTGGAAAGTGGACCTTCGTAAAAAAGGATTTTTTGCCATAATCAATGCGTATGACAATATTGTCGTCTCAATTGTCTTATCCATTTAATGTTTTGCCCATGTGTCACCTTCTGATTGATTCTGCTATTTTACACCCTTTTTCAAAGCTTCGTTAATCCCACTTTTCACGAAGTGATAGTTGCCTTTATTATAGGCTTTCCATCATTACTCTTCTAAGTTTGACGGTTGCCATCATATACATACTTAATCTTTTCTTCCTTTGTCCTCTTCTCCATAAGTCTTTAGCAAACATTTTCCTTCTTTACTTTTGCTCTCTTTCGATTTATCTTTGCTCAACAATGGCGTCTCCAAACCCTAACCCTAAAAGAGTTCCAATTTTAGATAAATTCCCCAATGCTCCTGTTAGACATAGAAGAGACAGAGGAGGCAGACTTCGTACAGGGTTAGAATCTACTCGAGGCGGTTCTTCTGGCTCTTCTTCTAGGAGCTCTATTCTGAAAACTCCTTCTTCTAAAGGTAAAGAAATTTCTGATTCTTCTAGGGAACCTTTAGTTGATGAAATCGTACCAAATGATTTATCTTTTGTAAGTGATAGACAATCTCTTCAAAAGCAAGTTGCTAGTTTAGAAAAGACTGATACTTATCCTACATTAGTGACCGAACTTACAATCCCTACCATCAGAGGAGACTGTAACTGGAAAAATAGTCTTCGAATGTCAATTCCTTCCATAAATCAAAGAATTTCTTCTTTTAGGATCGGGTACTCTTTTGTTTATACTTACCCTTTTACTTTGGGTTTTGATCCCCCAATTGACCC